CTGAACTTCAGTTAACTCTCTTTAGCCCCATGTCAATGTACACCACTGCTGTGACTTTAGAAGTGACATGCTGAGTGACATCCAGCATATCTCCGCTACCTCACTCCCAGTAATGGAATTGAATCCTGACATGCACCCAGCATGGACTCTATACGTGTACTCACTAAACTCTTCCTCTTTCATACCTGTGTGTGGGCCGGGAACCTGCAGACCTACTAGTAGGCAACCTGTCTACACCCCCTGTTTTATGGCACGTTAACACTACATGCCTTTCAGTGCGATATATTTCTGCATCCAAAATGCAAAAGAAAGTAGAATATATGGTTGTCAATGTCATCAGTGCTTGCAATTCCAGTGCCTTCTAGTTGCAGAAAAAAAAAGTTAAAGTGGATTTTTTTTTCTCGCTAGGCAGAATAAAAATGCAAAACTCAGCAAAAACGCACTATCATGCATTTCAGAAGATTCTCCATTGTACTCTATTGTAGCAAAAATGCTGCTTTTTGCTTTTAAAAAAGTCCCTGACCCTTTCCAAAAACACAGCTGCTAAAAAAGCATAGATTTGAACATGTTCCATAGGAAACCATGGTAAATGGACTTTAGTGTATTCTGCAAAAAGCACTAAAAAACACATTGGTGTGAATGGAGACTTAATTCTTTGCACCCAAGGCCTCAGTCACAGGAGCATACCTACGTGTACAGCCATGCGAAGGGACATAATTGCCTGTACAGGCTTTCTGTGCATCCATGTGAATGTAGACCCATTCATGCCCACTGGGAAGCAGCAGCTGCATGGACACAACCACTGGTCCCAATTTGATAGACATGTAGGTGCGGTCGCTGTCTGCTTTTGGGGGCCCGCACAGCTGTCAAACTGAGACCTGCAGTTGTGCCCGTGCAGCTGCTGCATCTCGTTACATATGAATGGGTCTACTTTCATGTAGACATGACTAGATCTTCCTGCATGTGTTGGCATGGTACACCTGTGCATCTCATACGGGGAAAGGACATCCCTTCTCATGGATGAAGGTACACCTGTGCGTCCCTACGGGGTGCGTCTTCCATATACGGGGAAAGGACATCCCTTCTCCTGGATGTAGGTACACCTGTGCGTCTCATACGGGGAAAGGACATCCCTTCTTGTGGATGTAGGTACACCTGTGCATCTCATACGGGGAAAGGACATCCCTTCTCGTGGATGTAGGTACACCTGTGCATCTCATATGGGGAAAGGACATCCCTACTGAAACAAATGAAGGATACAGTTCACAGCAGTCAGTGTCCCTTTCAGGGATTTCCACCATCAACACAAAATACAGTAATGTTCAGTCTCCTGACCTCTTTAGCAGTACCGCTGCTGAGGCCTCATGCCTTGGTCCTCCTGACCATCTATCACAACATCCCCATGCTTGTGCATAAACACTTAACCTCTCCAACATGGGCCTCTGTCTCTCCTGTCCCAGACTGCACTGTGTAGACAGGCACCCCTCAGGCTGCTCCCTTGCAACCACACGGAGCCCTCAGGAGGTTGGAGCCCAGAACTCTAGTTCAGATTATCCTAAGAACCCAGCACACACTTGCACCATCAATGTACCGGTTGTCTGCAAAACCTGTTCCAGATTACTTTTTAACACCGTAACAGGGCACTGCAATGTCACACCGTTTACCAGGAGCATACCTAGGTATAAAAACGCACCTATGGCACCTAAGTGGTGGTGAAAGTAGGAGTTATGGATTTGACCAATTATTTATTGTGTATTCCTTCTCCTGGCAGGGCAGCATGTTGGCTTAGTGGTTAGCTCTTTTGCCTTACAGCACTGGGGTCCTTGGGTTGAATCTTAGCCAGGACACCCTCTGCATCTGGGCACTTTGGTTTCCTCTCACATTCCGTAGGCCTGCTGGTAGGTTAATTGGTTCCTGTCTATATCAATCTTATTACGGGTATACAAATTTGCACATATGTTGTCTCATGCAGAGCAATTGTGGGGTGGGGACGGCTAAGGAAAAACCTGTAAATCTACCTTGTAAGAAATTCACCAAGAAAATTTGATTCCAAAAGGTCTCAAGCACATCATATCTGGAGCTCAGAAAGCTGGCCCATAGAATTGTTGTGAGTTGGATACAACTGAACAGATATAGACACTCAATTCTACCTGAAGGCATGGCAGTGGTGTGCCTTCTACCTCTATATAGACACTGTGCTAAAAGGTGTTCCTCTTTCTTTCTGAGTAAGTTGAGCACTATGAACCTGTCATCGTAGGCTGAAATAACCACATGTAGGAATATCTATTACCGTCAGGTGCCAGTTGAGTGCTAGAAGATCCATCCATAGAAGATCCATTGCTGCAAGGTGCCTTAGTAGCCCATAAACCCAGAGTTGACCACCCTATTCCATTTCCAGGCTCGGCAGTTCTATGGAACTTTCCAGCACATCCCTTGATCCAGTTCCAAGTGCCTCTCCATTGGTTGTTGAGATCTTGCTTTGCACTGTGTGATGTGCTGAGAACGTTTCACAAAAACCTTTTTGTCTTCTCCTCACAGTAGTGGATCTTCTTGGCAGCTCATGGTTCCTACTGAGAGCTTTACTTTTTTACTCAGTTTAAAAATAAAATAAACTCAAGTATAAAATCCTCTTGCAGATCCCCTAACATACATATATGTTGCGGGTTTGGAATGGTTTACTGGGGCTATGGCGCCATCTGTCAGCCATAACCCCTGTATTAAAATTTTCAGCCGGTGAAGTTCTTTTTCCTAAAAGCGATCTGAGCATCTGATTAGCCACTGGCTTGCTTTTAGAAGCAACAGGAGGGCCTCCTGCTGCTTGCCATGGTTTCTCGGGATTAACGTCTCACTGGGAGGACCAGCAACCAATCTGGAGGTTTGTGCATCTAGCCATAGAGGTTAAGAGAGACCATATTGTCTCTGATCACCTCTATGATCTAGGAGGCCAGAAGCAACGTCATGAAGTCACTTCCGGTTTAGGGCAGATGTAAACACTGCTTTTTTGGGAAAGCATCAGATAAATGTTATTTTTATTTGATACTTTCAAGGGTAGAGGAGAGATCCGGGGTCTTATATCTCCATAAAGAGGACCTGTCATGCTTTTTCGTTATCGTAAGGGATGCTTACATTTCTTGTAATAACAATAAAAGTGATTTAAAAAAAAAGAGCCCTGCCACACTGCAAAAGTGGATCAAGAATGGTTTGAGGAACACAGCAATGAGTTTGAGGTTGATTTGGCCTCAATCCAAGTGAGCATCTGTGGTATGTCCTGGAGAAACAGGTCCTATCCATGGAGGCCCCACCTTATAACTTACAGAACTTAAAGGATCTGCTACACAGGGCTTGGTGCCAGATACCACAGCACACCTTCAGAGGTGTAGTGAAGTCTACACCTTGATTGGTCAGGGCTATTTTGGTGGCAAAAGGGGGACCTACTCAACAATAGGTGGGTGGTATTAAAGTTAAAGCGGATTTCTGGCCCACCCTCTCAAAAATTAAAAGTCAGCAGCTACAAATTCTGTAGTTGCTGACTTTTAATATTAGGGCAATTACCTGTCCAGGGATCCAGTGGTGTACTCACCCCAAGCCAATTCTTCAATCAGCTATCTGGTGCTGACGCCGCCATCTTGACTAAGGGAAACCGGCTTCACAGCCGGACTCCTACTGTGCAAGCGTGAAGAGTGCTGCGCTTTTTGAATGAGCCGCAGTCTTCTGGGACCTGTGAAGTGTCCCAGAGGGCTGCGGGGGGAAGGAAGTCGATCCAAACCAGGTACCCCCTCCCTCCCCCCCCCCCCAAAAGGTGCTAAATGTGGCAGCAGAGGGGGCAAATAAGCAGAGCTTCCACTTTTGCTTTAAGGCTGGTCAGTGTATGTAAACCTGTATCCCACTAGAATAAAATGGATTGTTGTAACTGCTTATAAAGTATTAGCTGAAGTCTGGCTTCCATTTGTTAGTGTATCTAAATTTTCTAGTCCATCTAACATTCCCCGTTCCCCAGACTGACAACACTGCTGTCCAAAGGTGCCTCTGTGCTCCCTCATTCATAGTGGGGGTGCTCTAATACAGGAGGTGTGTTACAGCCAGATCACCAGGTGAAAACAGAGGGGAAAAAACCCTAAAAAAAGGGAAAACTAATGCAACCACCACATATAATGACTGGTAGGCTGCAATATATTACATTTTTGGTTTTGGGTTTAATACCACTTTAAAGTATAACTAAAGGCGGAACTTTTTAATTTATTTGGATGGAGTGGAGAGGGAGTAGAACCCCTGCCAGTTTTTATTGCTGTCTGTGTCCCCGTTAGAGAGATTCACCCTATTTGTCCTGTTTACCATTATCAGTGACAGTGAAAGCAAAAGAAAATCCCAGATTTTTGGTTGTCCCCAGAAAAGAAATAGAGGGGAAATCCAATGGGTATATATGTTCTGGTGACCTGAGGGGTCCCCAAGGGATTCCCTTAATTTGCAGGGATTTCCTCTCACTTCCTGTTTGGTTATGGGACAGGAAGTGAAAGGAAATCTCCCCAATGGGACATACTGTAGATGGTGAAAAAAATCTGACGGGTTACTCTATCCAAAATAAAAAAAAAATGTTTTGCCTATAGTTCTATTTTAAATAATACAAAGACAGAAGGAGGATGCGAATGCATAACCTTCACAGTCTATCAAATACAGCCTCAGTCAAATCAGCCAGAATGTTCATTCATTCTAACTCTCCTGTCTAGTTATACTTTTGTGACCTCAGCTCACCCTATGGACTGAAGCCTGTATTCCTCATATCAGCCACATTTTCTATACAAGTCATTTCCATAGTAGAGTACATAGACCTGACCTAGACACTCTGCACCTTGTGGAGCAAAGCACATCAGATGATCCAGACAGAAGAGTGTCAGGGACTACTTTACTGCTGGGCGGAGGAATACATCTCTCCTCTCATGTAAATAAGAATCGTGTCAAACTGTTGCAGGCACAGAGAAGTGCAGACACACCAGAGATCCAGCATGTCTAAGAAGGAGGATCCGATGGAGGAGATCATGGAGTCCAGAGTCATGTGGTACCCTGATAGCAAGAAAATCACCCAGATGGACCAGTTCAGGGCCAGGGTGAACAGGAACTATGGGCTCAGTCTGGGTGAGTGACAGCAGAGGATGGGAGTACACATGGGGTCAGCCCAGGGCAAACAACTCCAAGTAACAGCACTTCCTCACTAGTCCCAATATACCAGCTTCTAGCCACAGATCACCTGACACACATCTGTTCATTATTTGTGGGTGCTGTTCCTGGGTTATAGACTACATTTTGGTGTTTGATAAAAACTTCTAGTTTTCCGTGTCCAGTTTTTTTTCTTTCCATTATAATAATTATGTAATTTCCATGTTTTCTACAAGTAAAAATCTGCAAATATGCATCTAAAGTGTACATTAGTGCAAGCAACTGCAGCCTGTAGCTGTGTAGTCCTACTTCTATTGAGGTGTATCCAAAACCTCCCCAAATAAATAGAAATACGAATAACAATATTATTATTCCTTACCCAGGAAAAAATTATTATTATTATTATACAGGATTTATATAGCGCCAACAGTTTGCTCAGCACTTTACAATATAAAGGGAGACAATACAGCAACAATACAGTTCAATACAAGAGGGTTAGGAGGGCCTGATCCTGGGAGCTTACAATCTAAGAGATTTATATTATGTATGTAGGTTTATGGTGTCTATTTCTGGAAAATTTTACATTTTCTTTCAATTCTATTTATAGAAATTGAAAGCATTCACTAGGGGCGGACTGACCATTTGGAAACCCGGGCACTGCCCGAGGGCCCGGTGTCAGTAGGGGGCCCCATGAGATACCCTTGGTACCTTTTTCATAGGCTTTTTTTTAGTTTGGGCAAAGACACAGGGGCCCCATGATCCCCTATTGCCCGGGGGCCCCATGAGTTGTCAGTCGGCCCCTGGCATTCATACAACTGTCGCAGATATTCTCATTTTGCCTAATCTGTTTATTCCGTATGATCCTCAGCACCATCTGGTGACTATAATATGATATTTTTCTGAAATGGGACAAGCAGGAAAATATTGCATTATGGCCACTAGATGGACATGACGATCAGGAAATAAACATATTAGACACATTGCAGGGATGGTTGGTGGTGGTCGTGCAAATGCTGAGACATTCCGTAGCTTTTTCTTTTTTAAGCCTGGGTTTCACATATATGCGATGCGGTATATTGCATGTGATTCGCACAAGAACTGCACCGCATTCCTGTGCAAATCGCATGCAATTTGTGTGCGGTGCGATTGGAGCCATACATTTTGTATGGCTCTGATCTTGACACACCAAAAATGCTCAGGACCCTTTTTTTTGGTCGCAGATATTCTCATTTTGCCTAATCTGTTTATACCGTATGATCCTCAGCTCCATCTGGTGACTATAATATGATATTTTCCTGAAATGGGACAAGCAGGAAAATTTTGCATTATGGCCACTAGATGGACATGACGATCAGGAAATAAACATATTCGAAACATATTAGACACATTGCAGGGATTGTTGGTGGTGGTTGTGCAAATGCTGAGACATTCCGTAGCATTTTCTTTTTTTCTTTTTTAAACCTGGGTTTACATATATGCGGTGTGGTATATTTCATGTGATTCGCACAAGAACCGCACCGCATTCCTGTGCAAATCACATGCGATTTGTGTGCGGTGCGATTGGAGCCATACATTTTGTATGGCTCTGATCTTGACGCACCAAAAATGCTCAGCACCCTTTTTTTGGTCCGCACTCGGATCGCATAGGTATTCACACCTATGGGATCTGATTCTGCACATTGCACCGCGTTTTGCGGACCGCTTTCGGGGTGTCGTTAACATACACACTCGCAGTGGTTTGCATGAACGGGGTGCAATTCTGATGCTGTGTGGAATTCGCACAGAAAATGCTGCGAATTCCTCACCGCATCAGTGTGAACCAGGGTTTAAGGATAAGTTCACCTTTGGGAACATGTTATTTGTTTTTATGGTGTAACATGTTCTCAATGCTGCAGCCCGATTTCCCCCCTGTGGCAGAAGTACAGGGAGTCAATTTTTTAATAGAACGCAGCCGTGCAGGGCTCTACCCATGCGCCCACGTCATTCATTCACAGAGTTCTGTGAATGAATGAACTACGAGTCCTTAGCAGCTGTCGGCTTGTAGTTCTCCATGAACTACCACGATGCTGTGAAGCATCGTGGTAGTCCATTGATCCTTCCTGTCAGTATATCTGCTTGCCTGTACATCCTGTACAAGTGAGCAGATGTACTGACAGGCCTGCAGGAGACCTGCATGGCACCAGCGATCTGATCACTGGTGCAATACTTTCCAGGCTCCTGCAGCCAGAAATAATAAATGCACATTTTTTTTTTTACCTGCAAAAAAATGTGCATTTATTATTTGTGGTCAAAAGGTGAACTTATCCTTTATCTAGACACCCTAGACCACGGGCGTCTAACTGGCGGCCCTCCAGCTGTTGACAAACTACAAGTCCCATGAGGCATTGCAAGATTATTATTATACAGAATATATATAGCGCCAACAGTTTGCTCAGCACTTTACAATATAAAGGGAAACAATACAGCTACAATACAGTTCAATACAAGAGGGTTAGGAGGGCCCTGCTCCTTGGAGCTTACAAGCAAGATTGACAGTTACAAGCATGACTCCCAAAGGCAGAGGCATGATGGGACTTGTAGTTTTGCAACAGCTGGAGGGCCGCCAGTTTGACATCCCTGCCCTAGACCCTTATGCATTTCAGCTTTTCGCTGTTTGCAGGCCAACAATATGTCCAAATAAATGACACTTCTTGTATACGGTTGACAACACTGCTTTCCTATATCCTGCATGCAGTGGCAGTGTTGTCAGCCTAAGTTGTTCACACAGCAATGGAAAGCTGCTGGAGCGCTTTACATTGGCAGTCCTCCGTTGCCAGTTGCAGTAAGAGGCGGTGTGGTGCGCATTTCAGCGCATCACATGGATCCCCCCCTCTTTTTTTTGTACAAACTTTATTTAAAGTGTACAAAATGTACACTTCATTCATGGCAATGTACAGCAGTGCTGTGGTTGCGGTGCTGATTCAGCACGCTGCACTGCGATAAAATGCAGCATGTCTACATTTCAGTGCAGCCATGGGGCTGCTTTGCAGTGTTAATGGGACACATAGGAAACAATTGTTTCCTGTGTGTCCTTGCGGTGACAGATGTTTTACAATGCGGTCAAACATCTGTCACTCCACACAGTGTGAAATGACCCTTAATGTGTGCTTTTTCAGTGGACTACTGCACCAACACATTCAGCATCATCCTCTGATGACAGCCTCACACCTCCCCCTGGACTGCTGGTGTACCCAATACCCAGTGCAGTGCTGGGGTGGTGTGCAGGAATGCTAATAGGCAGGTATGGTACTGGGCCTCCTGTGAAGTTGGTAGAGATGGCGGTTATTTTGTTAATAATAACCGTGTGACTGTTTTCTTTAGCAGCTGATATTCTCAGAGTTGTGTGTGTAATCTATAACGCCATAAGTAGACTAATAGCAACCTTACATGACACAAATACACAATGCTGAAATGTGTGCGTCAGTAACAATGGCCTAAGGCTAACCTGACAATTCAAAATGAGCATGTAGAACATTCACATAGAGTATAATTAACTCAAAGATGCTAATAAATTTTATAGTTATTATTGTTATTTGCGTAATAACCTTCCTTGTGCAATGGAGGAATCCCTGCTGGCTGAATGAAAAGAAAATAACCCTCTCTGGCCAGCTTTAGGAAGGTTTAGACACGCTATCCAGTGTTATTGCACGTGTCCCCATTGGAAGGGAAATTTCCTTCCATTTCCTTTTCCAGTGATTGTTAGAAGAACAAGAAGTGATTGCAAATCTCTCAAATGGAGGCAGAAATGTCTGCAATAGGTAGGTTTCCTTTTATTCCCTGTCCCAGTAATGGAAATCAGACAGGGGCGGGCTGGCCATTGGGGAACTCGTGCACTGCCCGAGGGCCTGGGGTCAGTAGGGGGGGCCCCATGAGATGTCCCTGGTACCTTTTCATATGCTTTTTTGGGTGTGGTTTGAGTGTGGGTGAGGACACAGGGGCCCCATGATCCGCTATTGCCCAGGGGCCCCATGATCCCCTATTGCCCGGGGGCCCTACGAGTTCTCAATCCGCCCCTGAAATCAGATGAACCAAAAGTGATGGGAAAGCTGTCAAATAGGGATAGATGAGTCCATGTGCAGATAATTTGCTTCCATTTTCTGCCTTAGGAATTGGGAGTCAGGTGAACAGGAAGTGATGAGAAAAATTTTAATTGGGGTCAAAAACCGCAACAAAATGTGTTTTTATTATTATTATTTTTTTTTTTTTTAGCTAAACAAGGTAAGAATACAATACAATACAATACAATAGTTTTAATTGTTTTGTGTGCCTTGCTGTCTGGGTGATCCCTCCTCCTCTCATTTTTTGTCCTGGTGTCCTGAGACAGTGTGGGGAAATCTCCTCCGTGCAGAAACTGGAAGTAAGAAAAAAAATTTGCCTTGAGTTGGATTTAAGAAGAGAGATGCTCATGTTAACCTCTGTGTAAATGCCCATGATTGTGCCACACTTATATGGGCAGTATACTTGCAGCAGTCCACTTAAAGTAGAAGCTAGAGCTGTTAGTGTCCAGCTTCAGTCTAACGTGTTTTTGTTTTTTAATTGGATGAAGACTGGAAGTGAGGAGTAATCTTCTGAAAAAGGACACAGCAATAAAATATTTACAGAGATTCTGAGCTTTTCCCCATTTTATCCAGACCTAAAAGAAAGGTTTCCACTGGAGTAGGTCTCTTTAAAGGGAATGTAGATGATATTTTTTGTATGTAAACCTATAATGCAGATCAGTTTGATGCAAATAGTCTTATTGTGGTAATGTTTTAAAAACCTGGTTCCCTTGCTAAAGTGGTTCTAAAGGCTTAAAGAAGAACTCTGGGGAAAAATGTTTTTTCCCCCCCCATGCAGTGGGGTTTGCCTTCACTGCATGGGTTAACTGCTTGTTTTTGTCCAGGGGACTGGAGAGCTGAGATTTATTTACCTAATCCACTGATCCTCCCAGCACAATTGTA